TTTCAATTTTTTGTTTTATAAATTCAAAAACAAGGTAATTTATTTAACTGTACGTTTTTTTATGAAGTTATGATCAGATTTATATCAATCATTTAAACTTGATTTTTTGATTTTAACAACCAAAAAATTTACTTTTTGGCGTGAAGTGAAACTTATTGTAAAAGGTTCTATGAAAATTATATCAAATGAACTTTTTCAAAGCTTATTTGAATATGAAAAAAAAGTACAAATTTATTTTTATTTTTATTCGTAATTTTAAATTTACGAATAAAATTTAGCTTTTTATTTCACAAATCGCCTGAGAAATGAAGCAGCGTGTAAAAAAAGTTTCGACTTGCATTTAAAAATTTAAGGAAAATCAAAGTTTCATTCTAAAATTTATGACTTGAAAACTAAGCTTTTTATGAACATTGGTACAAGCTTTTATACTGTTCATTAAATTTTTTAGACTTTATTAAAATAAATGCATTTACTGGTATTTATAGGCTTGTTTTTTTTGAAATTTCAGAATGTTGTTCTGCTTAAATGTTTTAATTTTGGAGATAAATGTGTGAAACAAATTATGCGCCATTTCATTTTACTTTTATTGTTTGGATGATTTACACAAGATCAATTCAACATAAAATTCTTAACATTCGATTGATTATTAAAAAACATTTTTCCAATTCAATATAAGTAGTAGATAATATTACCAATTAATATAAATAATTCTGTGATTGATAACAGTTTTAACTCAAAAACGAAAGCAAAACATAGTAGTAGAAATTCATAACGATCATGTAATTTTAAAATTCATTCAAAATTTTTTGTTGTTAAACAAAAACAAAATATTGGTATACACAATCTCAATATCAAGCTATGCTTTCCATAATTTAAGAATATTGCTCTCATTCTCTTTTTCTAATTTCTTTCTATTCTCATTCTTAATTTGTGTTTTTTTTTGTTTTGTTCTTGTTGTTTACTAATGCAATAGTATACAGAAAAAGTAATACAATTAATAATGTGTTTGTTTGTTTGAGGGTGGGCGACAACTAAGCAAAAATAAAATTTTGCATGTATGAAACAATTTAAATATAATGTGTACGAACGAGTGTAGCCAGGGAGATCAATAAGCATAATAAAAACCTTGCTTTGTGATATAATTATATGTGTACGAACGAGTGTTAATAGGGAGCAATCTCAGCAAAATAAAAATTTTACTTTATGAGATTATAGATATATTAGACAATATAAATTATGTGTACATGTGTATTTTTGAATATTTTTATTTTTTGCGTACATTGCTTCTATATATGTATGTATATTATATGAGACGATTTCACTTATATATATGAACGATTGAATGTATACAACTGTGTGAAATAATATTCTGTGTTTATAGGCATATACAAATTCATTCTATAATGTATATAAAAGTAATAATATTAATAATTGTAATCTGATGATTCATATCATTCAAAAAAATATGTTCTGCATTCGTATAAAAAATAAGAATGAAAGAGTAGTGTAGAGTAAAGAAATGTATGAGTAATTTTAATTCTATGAACATTTTTTGTTATATGGTGCAAATAGAAAATATGTGTAGGAACAAAATATTATGTTTGCATGTAGGTAGATTTTATTAAGTTAATTTCGCTATAAATTGATGTATAAAAAAAAACTTGGAATCCTTTTTTTGGGTGAAAATTTTTTTTTTTTAAATTTAGGGGTTTTTTAAGTTTTCAATGGCGCCCCTATTTTTTATCGCCCATTGCAAATGCATACTTAGCATGTATGATAAAACCGGGCCTGGGTATAATATTAAATAATAACTATTATAATACCATATAACTGGTATACTATTTTACATATACAATTTATAGAAATAGATTTTTTGTAGGAAAGAATAAAACTGATTTTAAACAAATCATACTTTACAATTTTGTTGGTAATATTTTTGGTAATTTAATATGCACATACATTTACATATACATATAAGTAAAATTTGTATAAAAATTATATTACATTAGGTTTACATTAGAAAATTAACATACAATAAAAAAAGAGAGAGAGAGAGAGAAAGAGTTGATAATGTTAACTCTAAGATAACTAGGATAGTAGCTGTAAGGTTAATATTGAAAATATAAGCAATATAAGAATTTGTGCTTCCTGAATTGAGCTTCTCTTTATCATGCATTTTCCAAACATATTTTTATACAAATTTCATTGAGTTGTGTAGGATCGTAGGATTCTTTTTTCGAAGACTGGAACTTTTTTAAAATAGGATTTTTTAATTTACTGTAATAGCTCTTTTATTGGACCATTTTTGCAAAAATAAATCTGATATTTCTTATAACATTTAAAATGTTTATTAAAATTGCATTATTTCAATAAAATTTACGTTATTTTTATTTAAAATAATTATTTTTAAGTTATATTTTTTATTTTTTTATATTATAACTAAAATTTTATAGTAAAGCTTTTATAATTCGAATCAAATAAATGGTATGTTAAGTAGCACATTTCTCTTAAAAAATTCAAATAAATAATGTTCAAAAATTAGTTTTTTATGAATGTTTTATTTACGTTGTTCTCTCAGCATTTTAATATATTTTGCTATTGCATATATTTAGGATGAGATAATTTAAGAAAAAAACATTGTATTTGAATGGGAAATACTTACCATTACTTTGTTTATATATAACAGATATATAATGGATATATAATTTTGTACGATTTCATATATGCAAAAGTTTTAAGGGGCTGAAAGAGAAATTTTTATTAACATAACGGTTAGCTTATCTTTCTCTAAAGTTTCTTACTACTGTTTTAAAGTAGAAGAGCTCTGTTATTTTTCCTTCTACATTTGTAGAGCTTGATTTTAAAATCAAATTTATGGATTTCCGCAAATATCAATTTCTATAAAATTTGCTTATTTAAGAGATGTGGAAATTTTTGTAAACAGTGGTATGAACGGACGGAATACAAATAAAATGAATATGAACTTTTTTTTTTAAATTTCTTATAGCAATATGCTAAAAAATAAAATTATAGAATACTTTTTGAGATTAATGTCAACATGTATGTGTATAAAAGAAGTATATACATGTATAATTATTATTAATTTTAAGAATATTAAAAAAAAAATAATTAAAAAATTAAAATAAAATTGATCATTATCAGAGAGATCATTATAAAATAATAATTAAGATTATAATTATAATAAATATGATTAAGGTTCATTATGGCAATGAAATTATATTTTAATAAGTTCCACATAAAAAAATTAAAAACTAATAAATTGAAAATATTCTGATAAAGATATCAATTATCTATATAAATATTTTGACACATTGCAAATAAATTGAGTATTACGAAACAGAAACCGCAATATTATTTTAATCTAATTCGAAAAAAAAAGAAAAACAAAAATAAGTAATTGATAAAATTAATTTTAAATATAATTAAGTTAATTAACTTTAAATAAACAATGTATTTTTAGTTTGCCATACTAGAAGTTGATAGGGGAATAGTTTTTTATTAAATTTAGATTGTAATGTAATAATTATTATCGTGCTGTTGTGATCTGACATTAAAATGATGACAGTTCTCTTGTACCTTACAAGAAACTTTGTTTTCCACTGATTTGTGAGATTTGAATATGTCACTTTATCTGCATAATCTGATTTAATCGATTGTTATGTTGGTGACATATAAATTTATTGTTTCCAATTTTTTTTGTCTCCTTGTTATTTCTTAAAATGCCTTCTGGAAGTTTTATATTAGTTAGAGATTGGGAGCAAAGGGCACTCGATAGAGTTTAATGTTCTACAAATTTTGTTCGAAATTTTTTTTGAAAATCGACGTTAGGACGTTTTAAGTCTATAAATTAAGAAACTTCTATGAAATTTAAGAAAAATATGATCATGCGGAAATTTTTGCTCAGAGACACTTCTTGAAATTGATATTGATTGGAAAAAACAACGCCTATAGTTATGCTACGACCTCTGTCAAACGAGCAGCCATGTTTCACTAGAGTCTCAATTGGGTTTTCGAGAATTGCAATATTAAACTTATTTTGAGTATGTATTCATCATATCCCAATTTTGTTTTTGAGCTCTATTAAAAATTTGAAAAACTTTTAATTTATTATAAATGGAAAATCAAATTAAATCTATAATTTTATAATGAAATTAATATGCAAATGCACAAAATATATAAGAATTATAAAGGAAAGAGATAAAAATATTAAAAAAAAAAATAATAAAGAAAAAAGGAATAAAAAATATAAACTGTTTTTTTTTCATTTATATTTTTGTTTTTCTTTTTGTCAATGACAAACGGTGGAATACCTGTTCATATAATAATATTATAAAAATTTGTGTTCATAATATTACCGGAATTTTCAAAACATTGTACATACATATAATATACATTTAATATTTTCGTATAGATGAAAAGAGAAACAGAGAAAGAGAAAGGGAAGTAAAAAAAAAATAAGTATAAGAAACAAGAAAAATTAATAAGCAAAAAGAACAAAATATAATTTTACTCTAAGGCACAAGCACAATGTACACATACACAACACAAACAGCATAAGTTGGGTAGACGATAGTGGCGACAGCAACGACGATAACGATGACTATAATTTTAAACTTTACTTGAGTTTAATATAACAAGAATTAAAGTAGGTATATAAAAAAAAACAAAAAAAAAAATATGACGACGAGAATTCTCTTGTACTTGAGTACTTTTTTTTTTAAATCTATAAAGTATAGGTAAGCATAATTCTCATTATTTTTGAATTTTTTTTTTCGTTTGTTCTTATTATTGTTGTTATTTGTGTGCTCTTTGTTATTGTTTTTATTCATATAACATTATGATTTTTCATTTATTTTGTGGATTGTTATAATTAAACGAGGCGTATATAAAAGCAATACGCTTCAATAAGTATTGCACTAGTTACAATTTAAGCTTCGTAACCTAAAAATTAAAAAAAAAATCATATACCAATATTTTATAGTTTAAGTTTTTCGATTGCATAATTTAAAAAAAAATTTTTTTTTTTTCTTTTTTTACCATATTGGAAGTTGAGTTTTCCATTATTTGCTATCTGTACTTAATAGTTAGTTAGCTTTTGTAAATATTGGAATTTTCCTTTGTCTTACGAAAATAGAAATAATTCCAATAATAAAATTTTGAAGAACTTTAGTCCAATATTGTAATAAGAAAATAAAAAAAAAAAATTTTTGTGTGGTGTTTTCAATTGATTGAATTCAAAAAGTTAGGAAACTAAAAAAAAAAAAAAATAACAAAAAAAGCAAAAATGATTTCAAAATTGGTGAGTGGTTTGAAAGTATGTATAAGAAAAAAAAATAAGTTTTCAATAGACTGAAGAATTGAAAAATAATTGAAGAAAAAATAAGAAAGGAAAAAAAATATAACAGATTGAAAATTAAAAAAAAAACAAAACAAAATTAAAAGTTAATTAAAGTGCGACTTTGTAAAACAAAAAACTACTGGAAAATTTTGTTATAAAAATCTCAAAATTAATGCTATTAAAAAAATATTTAGATTTGTCAGGTAGCGTTAAGGTAATGCGAATGATATCGAAAAAAAAATTTTTTTGAAGGTTAAATTCTTGTTTTTTTTTTTTTTATTGAATTTTATATAGTCACTATAGTTTTTTATTAAGAAACGCTTTGGACCAGATAATCTCAAGGTTATTCTAAACAATTTATAATATTCAATAATTTAATTGTAATTTTAATTATATTTATAGAAATTGTTTTAATTTCTAAGGTTTGCATTCCTATAATTTGAATACCTATAAAATGAGATTCTTATATAGTATTCTCCAATAACTGATATATTACTTAGCTATAATGGAATATTTCGAAAACAAAAGGAAACACACCTTCCATTTTATAAGAAGAATAAAAAATAGATTTTAAAAAAAAATTATATAAAATTTGCTTATCCTATATTTTGGAATCATCTATATAGATGAGCATATACTTTTCGAATTTTATTGTTATATTCTGTTATCTTAATTTTCCATTGAATTTTTTCCAGTGATGGTCTGATGGCACGGCACTCCTTATATAATTAATTGGAATAATATTATTTTAATATCAAATATAATAAACAAAAGACTTTCAATTTCTTTCCATTGGAATGAAATGGAATAAAAAGTAATTAGATAGTGAAATCGAATTGATATAGTGTATTATGGTAAAATTTTAGTGTATAGAAGAATTTTGTTAATATTTTGAAAGTTTTTGGATTTTGAATTAGTTTTTCTTCATTATTATAGTTAAGAGAAATAATATATTAGTTTTGAAATACAATATTTATTAATCACGATCTATAAATGGTATTTTTTTACCAAGTACCATTATATGTATAGTGATTTTTAGGTAATTTAAGAGAATAAATTGTAATTTAAGAGTGAAATTAATTATATAAAAATGATTTAAAATATAATATTTATAAATAGTATCAATGATAAAAAGAAGCTGTGTTGGCATTAATCTATATAGCAAAAGAAATTACGGAAAGCTGTTTAAACATTTCAATATTAGTCTTGATTATGGCTCCATTCTTTTGAAAAATTACTGTTAATAATATTACTCATTTATTAAATACATATATATAATAATTGAATATACTTTTTTTTTTATAATTTTCAGGTTGGTGTCATATTTTTTGCATTAGCATACGCACAAGTTCCAGAACAATATCCGGCTGGTGTTGATCCAGCAAAATGTCCAAATTTTCCTATTTGTGATAATGCTGCCTTACATAATAGTCAAGCAGTACCACGTACATTACCATTACCACCACAACATTATCAACAACCACAACAACAACAATATGTACCGGTACCGCAACCGCAACAACAAAAACCACAATGGGTCGGTGTAGAACATCAAAGATCATCAGTTCCTGTATCTCATAGAAATACTGCATTACCATCATATAATCCACCACCACCACCTCCTCCATCAGTACAACATTCAATTCCAAGACCAGTCCAACCATCATATCCTGTTCATCAATCCTTATCACATGATTCATCATCACAATGGACATTAAAAAATTTACAATTTGATTCTGATGATTTTTCAACAAATTATTTATCAGAACCAGTTGCTCATAAACAACAACCACAACATCAATATCAACAGCCAAGACATTATGAGCCACAACCACAACAATATCAACATCAACAACAATATCAACCACAACCACAATATCAACCTCAGCAACATCAATATACAGCACCACAACAACAACATTATGCAACAAAACCTAATCATCATTCACAACCACAAAAAGGTGGTGATAAATATCCAGCTGGTGTAGACGCAAAAGCCTGTCCAAATTATCCATATTGTGGTTCAAATGGTTTACCACATCCAGCTGCACATAAACCTGTAGCACCATTACCTGGTTTTACAGAACGATTATATCCAGCTGGTGTTTCACCACAAGAATGTGCTAATTTCCCTTACTGTTTTGAATAAGATTAATTAGCAAGAAAACAAAAAAATCTTAAGAGCAAAAATTGCATATGCGGTTTCCATTGTATTCCTTTTTTTTTCTTTTATACACTGAATTTTAATTTAAAATTGTGATAATTTTGTTATTTGTTTATTCATTTAACAATTTCAAAAATTAATAATTTTTTTATTTAATAATAAAATGAAGAAAAAGAAAAAAAAAACAACATTATTTAAACACAATATGATTTTTAAATATTTTTTTTTTTACATGAATGTTTGAGCTTGTATTACAAAAATGTTGCACCTGAAAGTATGCAATAGTCTGAGAACGTTTTTTGTTCGACATTTCAAAGACAATGGATTACATTGTAATTATATGTAAATTGTAAACGAATGGAAATTTTTTTTATTCTTCTTTTTCGTTGTTTTTTTTTGTTCTAGAAATTTGAATATTTTTTGAATATGATATTGGGTTGCAAGAATTGTAAATTGAGGTTTTGTTGGTTAAATTGTTTTTTAAATGAATGCTCTTTATTATTAAAAGTCTATTTAATTTGATTTCTTAAAAACGAGAGAATGAGTGTCAGTTTTTTACTAAAACATTTAATTATTTTAAATATTGCATGAATTGCATTATTTTATGATCTAAGACATTTACAAATTTAAAATAATTTTATGAAATTAAATGAATTATGTATTCCTAGCTTAAATTCTTTTATGTATCGTTTCAATTCATAGATGCAGACAAATGTTTTAATTAACCCGAAATTTAAAAAAAAAAAAAATTTCTTAAAATATGGTTACGGAAACACAGAGTCGGTACGGTATTTATCGACTATTATTTCCAAAAGTTCTATATATGAATAGACTGCCGAATATTTAGTATTATCAACACAAGTTAACTTGTGGAGTAGAATTAAATATAATTTTCATGTAATAGAAATTTTGGAAAATTCAATTCTTCAAAACTTTAAAAGCTTCATTTGCAAACATTCTGGAAATAATACTATGACCGTCCAAAGCTTTGAAGAAAACCGTGTTAGCATCTTATAATAATCTTCACAGAAAACATGAAAACATTTATTTTTTACACTTTACTGAAAGAGCAGTTGCACTATTGATTTGCAAAGAAATTTATTTATTTTAAATAGTATAATCGTATGTACGCATTTTAATAAATAATTTTATATAACACAATTTATTTAATTTATTTTTAATTTTAACAAATTTAATTTCTGAATATATGGTAATATTTTTCCAAAAATTAATATTTAAAACTAAATAGTCGCACAGCATATATAAGTCTTCAGCAAATTAATTATTTGTGCTTGGAAAAGAACGCTTATAATTTTATTTAAATTTTTATTTATGGTTAAAAAACCGAACTCAATATACATATTTTTTATGTTTTGTTTTCAATTTGTATAACATCTCATATTACAGAACATGAAATAAAAGAATAATAAGCATTCTTTTTTCATAATGGCAATGATTGAAATCTTAATTTGCATATAAATTTATATTGTTATTTAAGTCTTATATTACACATTTTACTGCATCACGGTGTCTGGTGTTACCGTGTTACACATTTATTTGAATAATGTATGATTACATGATGACTTTCATAATTACAAACTGAAATAGATGAATTTAATTAAAATTACAAGAAGATGAAGCGTAAAGTAATGTAGGTTATTTGTACATAATATTAAATTATAAAAAAAGGAGATAATAATACTAATACGTGTATGACTATGGCTACATAAATTCGCAAGATTATACATTTATTGTTCTCTTTGTGAACAGTTTCTTCGCTTAGCGAAGATTACAGTTGTCAGAAATATCAATCGTTTTTTTCTCTCTCAAATACTTAATTCATTTATTTTCTATACCATTATTAAAATCCGAGTATCGCAAATAATATTATTTATCTACGATTTCTATTGTATATTTTGTAATTACACCACTAATACCTGTTTAATTACAAAAAATCTTAAATTGGCTACTAAAATATATTTTCGGAATTAAGAAGACAAAAAAAACAACTGATAAATAAAATTAAAAATTTTAAAAATAAATAAAAAATGAAGAAATTTTTGCGATTAAAGCTACTTAATTTTAACTCTATTTATTTTGGTTTTTTTCTGATTTATTGCTAATCTAATAATCTAATTGTTCAGAATTGGATTTGCACACAAATTGATTTTTACTCTATTTATATTTTCAATTCGAGCAAATGCGAATTAAACAGAAAAAGAAAAATCGCGTAAAAATTTTGTAGCGTAATCAAGTGGTTTAAATGATAAATGCATAATCATGTTGTGTAAAATGTGGAAAAATATATATATACAAATATATAAGAAAATATATATAAATTAATTTAATAAAAAAAAAATTTTTTATCACAAATTTAATTTTTTTTTTTTTGGTCATAATGCGAAATGAAAAAAGCCTGTTTTTAAATAGCCTCTAGGTCAAAAATGTAAGTTTAAAAACGACATGGTTTAAAATATTTTAATGAAAAATAATAAGTAGTTTTGTAGTAGTGGTAGTGGTGGTAGATGGTTGGTTGCATTGTCAAGGTGAATTTTATGTTACCTACTAACATCTGTTATAATTTATTTTTGTTTTTTTGGTTTTCTTTATGCGTATTTTTCAGTTTTTTCTTTGTTTTTTGTGATATTGCGTTTTGCGAAAATGATTGATGAATGATAATTTTTTGGATATTAAGTACATTGAACCCATAAAAGCTATAAATAATTGAGTATCGATATATATACAATTATGCCGATATAGTTGCGATAAAAAATAAGGTATAACAAGGTGGTTAAAGTGCATAATATAAAATAATAAAATTTTTTGATTTGATGTTCAATTAATTTATAATATAAATATAACATACACCTACGGCTTATTTCAATTAATATTTAATTTAGTATACATACATATAGATATATACGGATATATGTATGTATTGATATTATTATTTTTCTGTTTTTAATTGACCATGAGCTACTCTTGTTTTATGGAATTCAATTTTTGTATTAATATAATTGAGTAATTTAGAAAATTCTTTTGCTATCTTAACAAAATCTAAAATTTTTTTGATATTTTTTTCAATTTTTTGGCATTTTTTGGAATCTTAGTATGAAATAATTGAATCAAGTGTATTTTTAAATGACATATTAATGATAATTTACTTTAAGATCATGTTGATAAAATTGTATTAATTACATTATATTATATGGTGTCAGTGTTGTGGGTGATCTGTTTCTAGGTAATATCAGAGCCGGTTTTTGGGCTACAGACAGTTCTCCGATAGGCTAAGGAGCTTTTAGGAGGTTATAAAAACAAGCGATTTAAGAAAATTATGTGGTTGGGCAAGAAACAGGTGAAAATTCTTGTTGGTTCGCTGCAGGCGTAAGGGGTACCTAAAGAGGTTTGGCCTGGAAAGTGGAGACACTTGCAGATTCAGTAGGTAGGATGACTTGATATAAGTACATTTTTTGGTACTGAAGGGCTTTGCTCACAAGGTGGCGCAGTTGCCGTCTTCCGGCCCTCACAAGGTGCCCGAATTCATCAGGAGGTGGAGTCTTAAGCATTAGGTGTATAAAATGCCCTGCAGTCAGGGACTACAATAACTCTTTATACGTGGTACCGTAAATAATATTCAACGGAAAGCTCTTGAATTGAATTCACAAAGTAAAAGAAAGAGTAAATAGACTTAAGGAAATGTGGCGCAGATTGATAGAAACATCTATAAGAGGTACCTAAAGGACATGATTCGAAGTAAAATAACTAGAAATTAATTTCTTCATATTTACCAAGAAATTGAATTTGTTAAAACTTTCGTACAACATAGTCTATTAGACTAGAATCGAATTATTACAGGAACGAGTATTGACTTTCATTTCTTTTATAAACTTTGCAAACACCCATAAACAGTGCGAATACTTACTTTAATAGCATACTAACTTTTGCTAAAACAAAATGTATAACAAACATTAAAAATTTCTATAAATCATAATAAAAAGACGCAATTCGAATCGATATTGCGTTTTCGAAGTTATTGATTTAACAGACAGACAAGACGTATAAAAATGTAATTAAAATTAAGAAAACATTTGACCTTGACATTTGTGCACTGACATTAGTGACATCTACTTTTCGTATAATATATTTTCCCCTCCTAGCCATAACAGTATTACAAGAGTTGCAAGAATTTTTTTTTAATTTTAACTCTAAAAATATGATTACAAATATTGTTTGCTGACAAGTAAATTAATATTTTGCATTTCTATATTCAATATTGTTTAAAACACAATAACAAAAATATTTTGCAATAAAATTGATTTGGTAAGACTGGTAAAAAAAGCTTAAACAATTAAATTGTTGTTTCTTCTTTCTTCTCATTTTTGCAATAAAAGCTTACCAAATTCACGTGTTTTCATTGATAACAAAAAAATTAATACTGCAATAATGTATAGAATGAGGAGGAGATTTGTGCGCAGATTCAAATATTTATGTATGTACAATTACATACATATCTTCACTATATTGCATAAATATTAAAAAAATTATTTGACATTTCCCAATTAGTTAATCTCAGAATGTCCTGAAATTTACATTGAATTTTAAATAAAAAATCTATCAAAAATAAAAATTTTTTTTTCCAAATATATTGGAAAAAAAAACTTTTTTCATTTAAATTTCAATATAAATTTACATACATACATAAATGTAAATAAGGAGCAAAGGGAAAAATCTCTACCGCTATATCTTGTTCTTCCTTTTTCAAACTACACAAAAAAATTTTCCGGAATAATTATAGAAACAAAATGTTAATCTATTTTCAAAAAAGTATTTCATCAATTTATGATGGTTTTCTTGGACATGAACTGAGCCTTGTTCATAGCTTGCAGACAAAGTAAGTATCTATATATACCAGACATGATTTTGGAAAATCTTAATTTTTGTTTTTCTTTTTTTATGTGGTGGTATTTTTATATAAACTTTTTTTAAACACACATTTATACAGATTTGAACAATTGGAACCTTTATTTGAATTTGTTAGTGAAGAATTACACCCTGATGTAATAGCAACATATGTTGTACCATTACTTGGTCTATATAGTATGGATGCAATGGTAAAATATTTATATGGTATGGGTGTTATAATGTTATCAACAAGTGTTCTAAAATGGTATAAAATAAATTTTGTTTGAGATTTTCTTTTATATTATAATTTTAATAATATTTTTCAAAATATAAAATAGGATAGTACATGAGGATCGACCATATTGGTGGTGTCGTGAAAAAGATTTACCATCAATATCACAACATCGTTTAACATGTGAAACAACATCTGGTATACCATCGGGACATTCTGCTGCTATTGTTGCTTTATCATATTTAATATTGGCATATCTTAGTTCAGGTTATAGAAATCTTATATATTTTCCATTGGGTATATTATGTTTAATAATGTTCATGTCCAGAATATATTTTGGTTGTCATTTTTTACATCAATGTATTATTGGTGGTATGATTGCATATGGTGGTATAAAATATATATTGGAGCCACAGATGTGGCAATTTCTATTAGAAACTGGTAAAAAATTTCATATTATAATTTTAATTGCTACCGGATTATTTACATTATGGTCGTATGTTATAATGATGTATACAAATATTGATCCACATTGGTCTGTTAGAATGGTAAATTGATTTTTAATTGGAATGAAAATGAAATTAATAAATTTAAAATATTATTTTTTTCTTTCCAAAATATAGGCTTTTAAATGGTGTCGTGATCCAATGTATTTAAGTCATACAAGTAGTCCGGTTTATTCAATGTTAAAAGATTTTGGTTATATGATGGGTGTTGCACTATCAGCACCACTAATCAAAAGGTAAAATATTTTAGTAATTTTATACTTCTAAAGTGTGAATTGAATTTTTAAAAAGAATTAAACAAAATAAACGAATTTTTAAATAAATTGTGTCACATTGTTAACCAAATATTCAGACACCTAGTGGACAATTATGTTACTAATTTTTTAAAAAATGTACTAAACTTTAGTTATGGTTTTGATATATGCTGAATTTTGAAACGGTTAATCAATACGATAACTTATAAGAACGGTAATAGATTCTTGACTGTTGCGATACGATATTTAAAATTTTAAAAAACGATAACATTTTAAAAATGGTGAATAAAAAACTTCCCCATATGGTAAAATTAATGAATTACCAACTGTTCATATTTTGGTATTATATCTGCTTTACTAAAATTTATTAAATTTAATGGAGTTAGGAGAAATGATAGATAATAAATATTAATAATAAAAACCTTTAAATATTTTAGGCTTTTAACAAATCTTAGACTTTTCTTTTTAACATTAGAGCCTTAAACTACTCATTAAAATTTCTTAAAACTGACAACTTTCAGAAATATTATTTGCATACAAATTTAAATTTACTTAATTTTTTTTTTTGTTTTAATTTAAGCGCTTCCACAGAGGTAAATCCCTATATGAGTGTTCCAATAACGCTATTTATATTGATTGCTAATACATTTTTAAAAGTTTATACTCCTACACAAAGTGGTAAGTTTTCAATTTCATTTACATACACATACTTTGTTAAATAAATTGTAAGTAAAATTTTTTAATTTTCGTGATTTTTTCTTTTACCATAGGACGTTTTGCATTTGTTTCGTATGCATTCTTCAGAAGTTTATTGTAAGTTTTATTTAAATTGTATATTAATTATTAAATTTTTAAAATTGTAATTATTTTTAGCTTTACATTCAGCTTATTAACTATTATGCCGAAACTAGCAATGAAAGGTTCATTGTTATCAACTAAAAAAGCTCAATAAATTTACTATTTTTAATTAATTGTTTTTATTTAATTATTTATTAGTAAAATTTTAAAATTAGTTAATAAAATTTTAAAATTTAATAAACAAATTGCAATTTGCAAAAAAATAAAACAAAAAAATTTTTTGAAATAGGATTGTAATTTTTGGTTTGTGTACTAACTAAAATAATTTATAATACTATTGATACTCACCATGCAACCAAAAAGTTTTTAATTATTTCATTTGTCAAAGTATCTGTAGTAGTTTTTCAATTAATTTTTTTTATTGTAAAATTGGTTTATAAAATTAATTTCTATAATGTTTTGAGAAAATTTTGTAATATACAATATATGTACACAAATAAAATAATTACAATACTAATAATAATTAAAGGCTTTTGTGTAGTATAAGAGTTGCTGCCACACAGAAATCTGATTTGAAAACAATCGGGAATAGGTAATGAGAATATTGTGTTACAAGAAGCCGCTACGATAGAATTTTTTGTTGATGACAACTATAAAAACAGAAAAGAAATTTTAAGACATGTAAAATCTGATTTAACCATTGTCACTCCACTATTTATGGAGGTCAATTTAAAGATAACAAATTTTTTTAAATCAATAATTGCATTAAAATTTTTATTTTTAATAAAATATTAAGTACAATTTATTATTTTGTATTGAATACTTCAAATTTCTAGTATATTGAACTCTATATTATGTAATGCGAGCTTCCTGTTTAATTTATAACACTTATTTAATGGTTTAATATAATTCTCATGAGAAAATTTACAATAAAAATAAAAGCCTCTTTATTACACTTTTCCTTTTTTTTTAGAGTGAAAGTGGAGAAAATCAAATCTAATTGATAGAATCAAACAAATTCCAACAATTTCACATAATACAAAAATCCATTTTTAGAATTTATTTTTTTTTTGTTTCACTTTCTTATTTTTTTAATGGTAATTCAAATTTAATAGCTGTAAGTTTAAAAATGTTAAGATATAAAGAATTTGCTATACCGTTTATAATATGAAAAATTGTTGATTTGTGATATATGACATAATTTATGTCTTATATATAATTAATTTAAATTAAATTATTGATTATTATATAGAAAATGAAAGAGCAGAAAGATGGCTCATCGCCGAATAATGAAATTTTTAATGTGCCATTACAACATACTATTTCTAAGAGTAAGAAACATACGAAAATTACAACAGATCTGGCCAACTATTCATTAATATAATTATTCTTAATAAGAATTCATAATTCTTAATATATGAAAATGTTAATAAGAAAAATCAATGTGTTTACAGTGTATAAATTCATTGACTGAAGAGAAATTTTAGCTTAAAAATATTGAATTTATAAACTTAAATTCATTGTTTATATATCCGACGCAGATGCATATATATATGCATATGAGAACATTATATTGTCAAAATTTTTCTACTGATTCATCTAATAAACACATGGATTATGATGTCGGTATATAAAAATAATGAATAAATTTGAATATTTTTACGTTAAGTAAATATGAAACGCCCATTTAATAATTAACACTTTATCTGTATGTATGTATATTAAGATAATTTTATAACTACATATACAATTTGTATTATACAAATTTTTGGGCTCGTTTTTTCTTTTACTTTGTTGTCATTTATTTTTTTATGTTTTTTTTTCTTTCATTTTTTCATTTTGAATAAATTTCGTGGGATTTTTTTGTTGATGATTTTATGTAAGAGCATTTAAATTCATTTCTAAGTTTTTATTTCCATTAGACTTGAATAACATAACAATAATAAATTGAATGCAGAAGTATGAAGGCGGATGAAAGAGAAAGAAAAAAAAAATAAGACAGAGATTAATAGAAGATTATTTGTTTGAATAGTTATTGCTCAAAATTGCTTCCAAATTCATTTATAAAACTTAAACGAATTTGTTCGCGATATTTGATGGGAGACTGAGTGGTGTGAACGTAAGTATAAATTTTTTTTTAAATACATACATATTATTCTTGTTTTATGCTTTTTAATAGTACACTGTTGAACAATAAAGGAGGTTATGTGATGACACCAAGAATCGCATATTAAGTTTTTTGACGTAAATGTATTCCTCTATGGTAGGGAAGCATAAATAAACTATTTTTTTAGCAGAATCTTGGTCTGTGTTTGTCTGTATCATTGTGTATTTCAAATTCGCTAAAACTTGATGAAAATTTATATCTGAGCTTCCTTTAGCCCAGGAACTGAAACTTTATACTACGGGCCGAACTTACATTTTAAAAAAAAAATCAACTTATTAATTTATAAATTTAAATGAAAACATTTCTGGCCGGTGCTACCATGCCGTCAGGGAGGTTGGTATTGTTAAGGGGTCGAGAAACTAAGGAACTTTAAAAATTCATAATAGACATCAATAACGAATAGTACAGGTGCCACAGGAGGTAAAGAACTTTGCGATCTTCGGCAAAGATTCGGGGAAGTTTCGATTCTCCAGTGTCGCCAGTAGTTTTAGCAATTTCCATTCATGATGTCTCACGCAGGACATGGTGGTCGGTCGTACAGGAACAACAACTACGAGTAGATTGGTTCAAAAATCAAATTTTGTTGTAACTACAAGAAATTGTGTTTTTCAACATATTTGCTAGCAACAAAAGCATTTTTCTTAAATTCCTGTTTTCATATAGAAACTATGTATGAAAGAAATAATTTCTATTTACAATATTACCCACTTATATAGCTGGGAGAGAAATGAGAATATTAGCACCAGGCTATGTATTTTAAATTTATATAATTTCATAATTGAGGACACGAGAATGAGCGTGATGCTTGTATGAAGTCGTATGGAATAATTTCCAGTTCATATATCATAATTACTTTTATTTATTATCAGTTGCAACGTGTTCTTAAAATAAATAATTTACAAAACAAAATTATGTTACTCTTATTATTAATATATAAGTACTTATGGACCCGTTAGCGATATTTTAAGCGAACCACTGACGAATGAATTTAAACCTGAATTGTATACAGGCTGATGTAAAGTAATATGCTAAATATGGTATAATTCATTCAATTGTTACGAAAATACTTAAATAACCTTGAGATATTTTTTGAATATAATAAGCATTTCTTTGGAAAACAATCAAAGAAAAAGAGAAAAAGTAAAATAAAAAAAGGACAACCTTTTACCCATTATTAATAATTATTTTTTATTATTTGGGTTTAAAAAGCGACTTGTAAATTTCTCACAACCAAAAACAAAAAATTAAATTATTAAATCAAAAATAAATTGCCGAAATAAAATTTAATGTAAAAATAAAAATTTTTTTTTTTGATACTTTTTATGAATTTATTACTATGATGGTAATAATTTTTAATAAAATTTTCTGTTATACCTTTGAAAACTTTCTATATACCAATAAATGTAATTAAAATACACTTACGGTATTACGTTTCTTTTGATCCTTTTAAAAATTGTAAAGAATTTGGTTTTCTCTTCAAAATTTTTAACGCGATTATTTTCAAAAAAAAAAAAAAATTACAACACATATAACCAAATTTGGCATAAATAAAATTTTGAATTTTTATAGTAGTGTTTAAAAAGTAATAATAAGCAAATTATTAAAATAAAAATTAAAAAAAAATAAAGTTGGGTCAAACGAAAGGTTTGCAATGTAGCACTTTTTCCAAGTGAAAACAGTGCTTTTAAAAACAATCTAGCTGTGACAACTACATTATTAAAATTACTTTTATTTATATATCAATATATTACAACAATTGCATACATTTAGGATGAACAATTGCATACAATTAGGATGAACAATGTATGCAATCTTTAAAATAAAACAAAACAAAAAGAAATTGAAAGAGACGTTAACGTAATCCTCCAATTTAATAAAAATAAGTAATTATATTTTTAAATGGCATAACATTTACTGTTAGCTTCCTGCATTTGTAGAAATTCGAAAAAGCTTACAGTTTCAGAAATATAAGTGCCAAAAATTCGGATTTTACAAATTATGGGAGGGCGATAGTTTGGGAGGGAATGGATGTGCAAAAAAATGTTATTTCAACGAAATGTCTATATGATTCATTAGTGTCTAAAACCTGCTAACATTTTAGACTCCTACAATCTGAGGCGTAAAAAGAAAAACGATACAAAATTTGTAAAAAACGGATCTTAGATAACGTTAAATTTGAAAAATGCTTATGGTTTTACTGCAATAAATAGTTGAAACATGACAGTTTTAGAACTTTGACTGGCTATAACTTTTAGATGGATGGAGATAGGTAAAAATTATTTTCTACGGAAATGAGTTTCTAGTAAAGTTCTATATGTACGTATGAAATGTCAGCTTTATATCTTCAAGAGTGTAGAAATTTTGTAAACATGTCCTCGGACGGACGGACGAACGGACAGAGTACAAATAGTAACCACTTTTTTCCAAAATTCTTTGAAAAATGAAAGCAATTTTTTTTTTTTTGGAAATATTTTTATGATGAGTTTGGAAATATTTTTGGTGATGCAATTTTACGAACGCAATCGTATATGGAAAAACTGTGTTATATACAATGAATATTAAATCAGCCCGAAAAATTTTTAAATACTATGTGTAATACGCGATATATGTATATACTTAGCGGATATTTGATGAAACAAAATTGAGTTGAATTTCGTTATTTATAATTCTTGGAAGTTATATAAGATTATCCTTAAACTATATGAATAATTTTAATAACAAAATTTAGCACCTTCATAAAATACTAAACGATTAAAAAGGACTTTTAATTTTTATGATGTTTAAATTTTTTTTTTGGAATAAATTTATGAATTTTTATTATACAACTCGTAAGAAAAAAAATATTGAAGGAATTTTATATTAAAATTTTTTGTTAATGGTGTTAATGGGTCGATTAAGTAATTGTTGTAAAAATTTTTGAAGTTTTTCCCTTTTTTTATATTTGCAATTCGGTGGGAATAAAGCTCATTAAATTATTTTTTTATGAATATATGAATGAATATATGAGTGTTCGATTCTTTGAAATTATAATTATGATCACATTCCAATATTAGATGTTTAGTATTATAAAAGAAATAGTGACTGAAAAGTTTATTAAAAAAAAATTAGTTGGGTACGAATTATCAACCTATCAATAAAATTGTTATCAGAGTTATTACATACCAGTAAACGCATAATTATTAACGTTAAATCTTTAATTATATTAATTTTTATATTAATTTTTTTGTCAGTTTCGAATTTCACACAAAAGCTAATCAAAACAAAACCTTCAGTTACGCTTCAGTTTGGATGGTTGGTTGATGTAGCAGGTGCAGGAGGTTCAACTACCCCAATTAGCACAAACGTGTCGTTTTGCTACCACTACCTCGCGATCACCAGGCCCTTCATTGAACGTACGATTACATGTGGCCTATCTAGGTTATCCGGTTCTCTTGAGGAATCTATGAAAATTAATCTAATCGTCGATATCTCGTCCCACCCTGGCACACATGCTTTGCCCCACGTAGCCAGTCTGGCTTCCCTAAGAACTGGACATTCAAAGAGATACTGAGAAACTGTCACCTTCTTGTTTATTTTCCGGCATCTGCGATACGTTTTATAGAAGGGCAATACCTGTTTAGCCGTATGTTTCTCTCAACGGCCAGTGTCCCGTGCAGACAGCTGTTAGAAATCGCCAGAAGCCCATCCGGTTCCCTATGGTCG